TGCTTTCGAACTGCTAGGTTGGCAGGCGCTGGGACTGAACGACAGGAGCGCACCCCGCTGCGGGGATTCGAACCGCCGACCTTTCAATCGGCAAGTCCTAGGCGCTGAGGCTTTAACCCACAGCGCCACCCGCGTCCCCTAAATCTTTTCTTACAGTTTCTTATTTACACTCCATCCACATCACAAGATTTATATTAATCCTACTACAGTTTTTAAATTCTTACAATTACTCCATATATATTCAACAAATTTACTCCAATCCTTTAGAAACTTTGCTTCTTTTTGGTTTCGAATCTTATAAGTCAATTCCGCCAATTCTAAGTATTCAGACATTTTTGTCTGCCACTCCATTAAAGTTGGGATTTCTATTTCTGAGCCACTAAGATTCTAGTAAGGGATGCGGGTGGCGCTGTGGGTAAAAGCCTCAGCGCCTAGGGCTTGCCGATCGAAAGGTCGGCGGTTCGAATCCCTGCGGCGGGGTGCGCTCCCTTCGCTCGGTCCCAGCGCCTGCCAACCTAGCAGTTCGAAAGCACCTCCGAGTGCAAGTAGATAAATAGGGACCGCTTGCTAGCGGGAAGGTAAACGGCGTTTCCGTGTGCTGCGCTGGCTCGCCAGATGCAGCTTTGTCACGCTGGCCACGTGACCCGGAAGTGTCTCCGGACAGCGCTGGCCCCCGGTCTCTTGAGTGAGATGGGCGCACAACCCTAGAGTCTGTCAAGACTGGCCCGTACGGGCAGGGGTACCTTTACCTTTACCTTTAAGATTCTAGTGGCGGTCATTGCAGACATGAATAGTTTGTAATCTTCCTTTTTTAATTCATCTCCTGTTATCCTTAGCAAAAATGCTTCTGGTTTCTTTGGGAAAGTGTATTTAAATAGTTTTTTCATTATATATCATGTCCCAATATTTTTTCATTTTTTCACACGTCCACCACATGTGAAAAAATTTACCGCCTTTTGTTTTACATTTCCAACACATTTTAAAAAGTGAGTCCAGAAGTGATTCAACAACAACAACCTCGGGTTAAGTACTTAATTCGTTCTGGAGGTCTGTTGTTAACCTGAACCTGTTCTTAACCTGAAGCACCACTTTAGGTAATGGGGATTCCTGCTGCCGCCAGGCCGCCGGAGCACGATTTCTGTTCTCATCCTGAAGCAAAGTTCTTAACCCGAGGTACTATTTCTGGGTTAGCGGAGTCTGTAACCTGAAGCGTATGTAACCCGAGGTACCACTGTACCACATTTCCCCCCCAGATTTGCCTCGAGAGAGTCTTTGAACCTCTTTTGTTGATGCCTTCCATTTTTAAGTTCGGAATAGAGGAGTTGCTATTCAGGCATGGCCAGCCCAACACTGAAGAACCATCACTTCGACACTGGGGATCAGTTTGTGCGGCGGCACGGAGATGCCCCCACTTCTGGTTCCGCCGCGCAGCCCTTCCGATTCCCCACTTCACTTGACGGGGAAATGATAATGGAGTTGGGGCTTTCCGTGTGCCATGTATGTGCGGGGGCGTGTGGAGACCACCCCCATCCCCACGCCTTCTGTGGATCCGGAGCTGAAGAGCTCTCAAGTGTCCTTGAGAGAGGGGTGTAATGCATCGCCAACCTGACCACCTCGCTCCATCAGCGTGCCAGACAAAAGCCGAGGGCACTTGAAGGGCGAGGCGGCAGCGCTGGAGGGCTCTACTGAGTGTATTAAGTGCTTTAATATTACAGAGGGGGGGGAGCAGAAGTAGATGGGTGGGGAAGGCAAGAGGAAGGATGACATGCCGTCTGGCAGGAGTCATAACAGCCGGAGGCAGCGAGGAAGGACGGGGCTGGCACACAGAAAGGAAGAATAATTGTCGGCGTTTGAAAGGGACCCAAGGGTCATTTAGTCCAACCCGCTGCAACCAAGAGTCTGTATGTAGTAGGATCTGATGTGGGGTGCGTAACACACCCACAAGGATGTTTTGCCTCCAGGGTCGCTTTGCTGTGAACAGATAATAATAATAATAATAATAATAATAATAATGATGATGATGATGCAGTGGTACCTCGGGTTACAAGAGGGACACGGGTGGCGCTGTGGGTTAAACCACAGAGCCTAGGGCTTGCCGATCAGAAGGTCAGCAGTTCAAATCCCCACAATGACGGGGTGAGCTCCCGTTGCTCGGTCCCTGCTCCTGCCAACCTAGCAGTTCGAAAGCACGTCAAAGTGCAAGTAGATAAATAGGTACCGCTCCGGCGGGAAGGTAAACGGCGTTTCCGTGCGCTGCTCTGGTTCGCCAGAAGCGGCTTAGTCCTGCTGGCCACATGACCTGGAAGCTGTACGCCGGCTCCCGCGGCCAATAAAGCAAGATGAGCGCCGCAACCCCAGAGTCGGCCACGACTGGACCTAATGGTCAGGGGTCCCTTTACCTTAAGCAGAGGTTGGGTGGCCCTCCATCAGGATTATTTAGTTATGATTCCTGAGTTGCAAGACGATGGACCGGATTAACAATGGGGGCAGCTTCCAATTTGCAATGCTATGATTTTATTTGTTTTGTTTTGTTTATTGAATTTATAAAGCGCCGTGTACCCCGAGGTCTCAGGGCGGTTCACATAAAAAGATCGCAGCATATAAAATAACAATAAAAGGAATAAATCATCAATCTTTATTACGCTCCAACAAATCGTTACAAAGCAATACACAATTCATGCAGCTTACCTCCAGGTTAAACAAGCATTTTGTTCAGAATATAGGGATCATTGGTTCTTGCAACCACCGATAAAAACTTGGCCACTGCTAATGTTCTAGCATTTGTCCGGTCTTCCAATAGGAACCTGACATAGCGAGCCTCTGATTTTCCCAGGAAAGGTACCAGCAAGGGTAGTAGCAGTTCAGCCCTGGCTTGCTCATATTTTGCACAGTGCAACAAAATATGTTTTATGGAATCGATGTCTTGAGCACACGAGCAAAGTCTGTCCTGGTAGGGAACTCCTCTCAACCTGCCATCCAACACTGCAGAAGGAAAGACATTTAGTCTGGCTTTCACGAAAAACCTTCGATAATTTGGTACTGTCAGGTATAAATCAATAACACCCCCCCCAAAGAGCCACATTTTAAAAGGGTATGGGATGTTGATCAGGTCAACCAAAGGCCTGCTTAAAAAGGAATGTTTTTGCCTGGCACCCAAAAGTGTATAATGAAAGCGCCAGGTGAACTTCCCTGGGGAGAGCGTTCCACAGACGGGGAGCCACTGCAGAGAAGGCCCCGTTCTCGTGTTGCCACCCTCCGGACCTCTCAAGGAGGGGACACACGAAGGAGGGCCTCAGAAGATGATCTCAGGGTCTGGGTAGGTTCATATGGAAAGAGGCGGCCCTTGAGGCATTGCGGTCCTGAGCCGTTTAAGGCTTTATGGGTCAAAACCAGCACTTTGAACTGTGCCCAGAAACTAATCAAAAGCCAGTGCAGTTGGACCAGGGTCGCTGTAATATGCTCAAACAGTCTTGCCCTCCGGTGAGCAACCTGGCTGCTGAATTCTGCACCAGCTGAACCATCTTCAGAGGCAGCCCTACGTATAATGGTAACTCTTATACAGTGGTACCTCGGGTTAAGTACTTAATTCGTTCCGGAGGTCCATTCTTAACCTGAAACTGTTCTTAACCTGAAGCACCACTTTAGCTAATGGGGCCTCCTGCTGCCGCCGCGCCGCCGGAGCCCGATTTCTGTTCTTATCCTGAAGCAAAGTTCTTAACCCAAGGTACTATTTCTGGGTTAGCAGAGTCTGTAACTTGAAATGTATGTAACCTGAAGCGTATGTAACCCGAGGTACCACTGTACGTTCAAAGAGTGGAGGAGTTGGATAAATCTTTGTTCCACCAGTTGTGGTTGGGGTTGCAGCGGCTCCCATCATCGTGCACCATTGGCCATGGGCTGGAGTCCAACCATATCCGGAGAGCCACACAGGTACAGAACAATAGAATCCTAGAGCCCAATGGGACCCCATGGGTTCATCTAGTCCAACCCCTGCAATACGCACCCATAGGGGGATCAGACCCATGACCTTGTCCTTATCAGTGCCATGCTCTAATCCATAGGTAGTTCAAACTAAGGCCCGGGGGCCGGATCCAGCCCAATCGCCTTCTCAATCCGGCCGACGGACGGTCCGGGAATCGGTGTGTTTTTACATAAGTCGAATGTGTCCTTTGATTTAAAATGCATCTCTGGGTTATTAGTGAGGCTTGCCTGGTGTTTTTACATGAGTAGAATGTGTGCCTTTATTTAAAATGCATCTCTGGGTTATTTGTGGGGCATAGGAATTCGTTCATTTTTTATTTTTCCAAAATATAGTCCGGCCCCCCCACAAGGTCTGAGGAACAGTGGACTAGCCCCCTGCTGAAAAAGTTTGCTGACCCCGGCAAGGCTGTATCGATAAACCCCACCCATCTGGTTTGGCCGCAGTGTTCACCGGAGAGCTTTGGGCGTGTGTGAAACGCACTCTGCGTGCGCTCAGAAGCCAAAGCCGCCCTTTTCGGACATCACCTTGCGATGCCTCCAGAGGTTTCTGGCTCTGAGCGCGTATCCCGCCCCCCACCCGCCCCCCCCAATTTCCCAGCCCCTGTCTAAAAGCAGATAAATAAAGTATCTCTTCGCGTATCTTGAAGGTTTGAACCTCCTTGCAACCGGGGGCATGTTATTGGGAATATTGGGGGGGGTGAAATTGGCGGGGGAGAGGGAAGGAATGGGAACAATTAAACCCGTCCTCCGTACAACATTTGTTACGTTGCCCTCTGCGGAAAACAGAATAGAAATCGGAGGAGAAGGCTGAGCTGGCGAGGGCAGTTGCGTTTTTTTTAATATTAAAAAAAAAAGGTTTTAGGATGCTTCGGGATGCGTTACAGGTTGGCAGGTCCCTAGCCAACCCCCCCCCCTATTCATTGCAACAGGCTTCTGCGTGACAGCGGTAGCAGATTGGGGGGGGGGTGTTGTTGCGGAGAGGGGTGGGGGGTTTGAAAGAGAGAGAGAAAGAATAAATAAAAAAAACTGCCCGTCGCTGTCTTAGGAGGAATACGGCAGGGCTGCGCGCAGCTTGCAATTGGAAGCCTTTTCCCGTGATGAATGAACGGTGCTAACCGAGCCGGCTATAAAACTGAACGCAGGTCCCTCGCCTACTTCATTTGCAGCCGGACCAGGTGCGGAGAGCATCTCACCCCCCTCCAGAAACATCGCAGCCCTTGTCTCCGCCGGAGTTTTCAACTTACAGGTGAGTACAGCCAGTTCCTCTACTTTTTCTTATCAACACTCTGCGCAAGAGCTAAAACAAAGGAGGGGGGAATTGGTTTGCTGGGTTTTAACACCCCCTTTCTTAGGTCCTTCCTCTTCTCCCTCAAAATGCTTTCCGAGGCTACGGATTCCCCAGATATATTTTCTTTTGTCGCATCCGGGTGTCCAGAGAAAGGTCAGGGGTCTCGGGGCCAGTTGGCTGGCAAAGTTCGACCCCGGGGGTGATGTTTTGAGCCTGGTTGCAGCCTCAAAAGTCGCCCAGAAGAGCGCCCCCCCGGCAGGACCCAGTCGAGGTGTCCCCTGAGCATATGCGGAGTGTGGCAGAAAGCCCCATAGGGAAGGAAGTGAGGTGGGGGAGCCAGAACAAAGCCGGCAAAGTTTGGTGCCGATTTACAGAGCGGCATCTGCAAAGGGGATGTCACGAGGTCCGCAGGTGTGTTTGAGAGAGGGACCCAGTCCAAATATTTGACCACGGGGAGGTGGAACAGGCTGGCCGCTTCGGCCAGCGCAGGGGATGCGAACCACGGTGCAACCTGCGCCAGTCTCAGCCTGGAAAAGAAATGGTTCTCCAAACTAGGCACAACCTCTAGACTTGCTTTGCATTTGTCCAGATGTTAGCGGAGAACTTGTCTGTGTAGAACCCGCTCCTTTGAACCAGGGGTCAGGAGGAGGGTGGGGTGGCTGGCTGAGCCCCTAACTCCTGGCACTGCCCCTCAGGGGTGGGCCGTGCCTCAGTCCTAGAAGATCTCCAGGTGGATGCGAGAGATTATCCCCGTCTGAAACTCTGGAGGCTGCTGCTGCCAGCCAGTGTGGGCAGCTGAACCTAGGTCCCCGGCCTGGTTAGATTCAGCTGGTTAGGTGGACCAAAGGTCCGACTCGGTAGAAGGAACCTCTGTAGGTCTCCCAGAGCACATGAGAGCTTTGCAAAAGGGCTTTTTGATGAACAGGTCGCCGATTTCACAGGACGCCCAACTGAGGCTGCTTTGCTTCTGTTGGGCTGCTTCCTTGCCTCTGCCACCCACAATCTCTCCCTTGAGAGACAGGGACCACCTTTGTGGTTTTCAGGTGTGGGCTACCTGGACTGAGGGATGCTGCTCCTTCAGGAGAGCATGGATGGACGGTGTGGATTTTTTGGGAGCAAAGAGAGAGCGTTTCCAACTTGCAGCTCAGCACGTCGGCTGCGATTCCTGCATTTGAGCCGTGATCCCGGGGGGTTGGTCTAGATGAGCTTTGGGAGTCCCTTTCCGTCCCACCGTTCTGTGATTCAACGGCCGCTGCCGCAGAGCGCTGAAGTGGACCGTGTCCCAGAACCAGGGGCTGCCCAGGAGTTTGATGTGTGCTGCCTCCCCGTCGGAAACAAGGAACGCTTTTCCAGACCACCTCGGTCTAATATTGCTCTCCCAGGGCAAGAACTGGCAAATTGGAGCAGAACCGGAGAGATGTTGTAAGGTGTTAAGTCACTCAAAGCTCCGTTGCACTGACTCTGACTGCTAGTCCAGCTGGCTCGAGGGTTTCGGAGAGCCAGTCGCTCTCCAGAGTACCAGGGACCGAGTCTAGCGAACTCGAGACCCTTTAACACATTGCTGTGACCCTTCAGAGATTGCTGAACTACAACTCCCATGATCCCTAGCCTTTGGTGATGTTGGCAGGGGGCCGAGGGGCCATCGAATTTCCCCAGACGCCCTTTCCCCCCCAAGCGGAAGATTGATAAAGGAGCAATCCGATTCAATTTGCACTGGAAAGCAAATCGATTTGGGTTTGCTCTTCCCTGAACCATCTGGGGAACCGAAAAGCAGCCGTCCTCTGAAACCCGCAATTTTGCAACGCGGTTCTGCAGGCAAACAAACAAAATGCGTGCAAAAAAATTGAGCAGGGCTAAGGCACGCATACAAAGGTATCTCAGTGAGAACAACCCAGGAAAAGCCTGATTATTAGGGAGGGAATGCTTTGCAAAAAGCATGCATGTAAAGTATCAGGCAAAATTTAATACAGATGTATGTATATGAGGAGAAGTTTTCACTGAAGCGCTGTTGAATTTTCATGGGGACTCTTTTTTTCAAAAATCATGAACTGATGTGGAGAACTGGAACTCAGAACAGGGTAAGCGAGGAACTGAGGGCAGACCCGCGCAGTATGTTTAAAGCACATCTAATGCACATTTAGGGACGTGGGTGGTGCTGTGGGTTAAACCACAGAGCCTAGGACTTGCCGATCAGAAGGTCGGCGGTTCGAATCCACGCGACGGGGTGAGCTCCCATTGCTCAGGTCCCTGCTCCTGCCCACCTAGCAGTTCGAAAGCACGTCAAAGTGCAGTAGATAAATAGGTACCACTCCGGCGGGAAGGTAAACGGCGTTTCCGTGCGCTGCTCTGGTTCGCCAAAAGCGGCTTTGTCCTGCTGGCCACATGACCCGGAAGCTGTACACCGGCTCCCTTGGCCAGTAAAGCGAGATGAGCGCCGCAACCCCAGAGTCGGCCATGACTGGACCTAATGGTCAGGGGTCCCTTTACCTTTACCTAATGCACATTTAAAGCACATGGCTCCCCCCCCCCGAAGAATCCTGGGAGCTGCCGCTTTCCCTCACACAGAACTACAATTCCCAGCACCCTTAACAAGCTACAGATCCCAGGATACCTGGGCAGAAGGTGCGAGGTTTAAATATGAGTTGACTGTGCTTTGAATTTGCGGCATGACCCACATGGCTGGGGAGCCTCCAGATGTCTCTGAGCTGCAACTCGTAGAATCATAGCTTTGCAGAGGGACCCTAAATGGTCCGCTAGTCCAGCCCCCTGCAATGCAGGAATCTCAGCTAAAGCTTCCCTGATCAGAGGCTCTCCCACTAAAGAGTGCTCTGCTCCCGCCCCCACGTGTTTTATTTATTGCAGTCGCACCCCACCTTTTTGTCCAAGGAGCACAACATCCCTGTGAGGCAGACCAGGCTGAGAGGCAGTGACTGCCCCCCCCCCCAAGATCACCCAGCAAGCTGCATGACCGAGACGAGATTTGAACCCGGGTCTCTCCCAGGTCTTCGTCCGACACTCTAACCATTGGCTGTGTCCCTCGGGAGCAGGTGATAATGCTGGTTATAAATTTCTACCATTCCTTCCAGACGATCCCGGGTCAGAAAAAGGCCAAAGCAGTAAAAGAAAAGTCCATTTTAAAAACTAGGAAATATAAGAATTCACATTTAACGTAATTGAGAGCCACGACAGCTGTCTATGCTGAGAAGCGGCAGACTCTGAAGGTCTGCAGCCAAAACTTGCTGTCCAAATGGATTTCAGGTATATAGTCACCTGTGGCATCCTAATTATTATTATTAGTAGTAGTAAGGTAAAGGCAAAGGACCCTTGGACGGTTATGTCCAGTCAAAGGCAACAATGGGGTTGCGGCGCTCATCTCGCTTTCAGGCCGAGGGAGCCGGCGTTTGTCCGCAGACAGCTTTCCGGGTCATGTGGCCAGCAGGACTAAACTACTTCTGGCGCAATGGGACACTGTGACAGAAACCAGAGTGCATGGAAACACCATTCACCTTCCCGCTGGAGCGGTACCTATTTATCTACTTGCACTGGCGTGCTTTCGAACTGCTAGGTGGGCAGGAGCTGGGACCGAGCAATGGGAGCTCACTCTTCAAACCACCCAAGTTGGTAGCCATTACTGACTCGGTTTTAACTCAGCTGTGTGAAGAAGGACTTTCTCTCTCTCTTTCCCAAATCTTTAGCTCTGTTGGGTTTCCTTGGTTGGGAGAGGGCAGGGAACCTGGTGAATTTCAGAGGTATCCGAAAGAGCCTTCCGTATATAATTTTATTAAGTTTTTTGCTTTACAACTGAAAACACTCATTTTGCACCCTTAAGACATCGACGACTTCCCTTCTTCTCTTTCCATGGTTCATTTCGCATATCGTAAATCCCCGCATATTTTGCAAAAACCAGACCGTTCATTATTCCATCAAAACTTGCCTACACTGCTGAATTTATCCTGACGCTGCCCGCGTTTTCAGCTCTATGCAACTCTTTCCCATATAGCCAATAAACGTTTTCCAATCTTCTCTAGACCTATGTCCTTCTTGTTCTCTTATTCTATATGATATGCCTGCGAGTTGTGCATATTCTGTCAACTCAAGTTGCCGTTATTCTTTGGTTGGGACCTCACTCGTTTTCCATTTGGGGGCTAACAAAGCACAGGCCGCAGTAAAGATAAAGGGACCCCTGACCATTAGGTCCAGTCGTGGCCGACTCTGGGGTTGCGGCGCTCATCTCACTATTTTTGCAACAGAAAAATAAAAATCTTCTTTGCTTTCAGTGAAAGCTGCCTCCATCCTTTCTCAGACCAGTCATGGACTTAGGGGGCTCAGAGTCCCTTGTGGCAGCAAAGATCACCCCCCCCCCAGTTTTCTACAACAGTGGCCATCTGTGTAAGGTAAAAGGACCCCTGACCATTAGGTCCAGTCGTGGCTGACTCTGGGGTTGCAACGCTCATCTCGCTTTACTGGCCGAGGGAGCTGGCGTACAGCTTCCGGGTCATGTGGCCAGCATGACTAAGCCGCTTCTGGCGAACCAGAGCAGCACACGGAAACGCCGTTTACCTTCCCGCCGGAGTGGTACCTATTGATCTACTTGCACTTTGACGTGCTTTCGAACTGCTAGGTGGGCAGGAGCAGGGACCGAGCAACTGGAGCTCACCCCGTCGTGGGGATTCAAACCGCCGACCTTCTGATCGGCAAGTCCTAGGCTCTGTGGTTTAACCCACAGCGCCACCCGCGTCCCCATGGGCCGCAGTAGTGGCATGCAATTTCTCATGCCTTTTGAGTCAGCTGCAGCAAAAGCTCCCCTCACTCTGAACGCAGACCTCTGTCCCCCCCTCCCCGTGAAGTTCATCCGTCTAGAGGCGCACAGCATTTGTGTGGCAAATATCAGTGCAGTATTGATTCTCTTCCTCTCTGCAAAGGCAGAGAGAGATAAAGCGTGTGTGTGTGTGTGCTTTGAAGGAATGTTGCTTTGCAACGCCATCGGAAAAGCATTTGTCACTGGCGAAGAAGTTGAGAAGCAAGCGAGTGTTTATAGCCTTCAGACGGTTTCCCCTGGGTCTCGGGCCGGTCATTTTGTAGCTGACGCTGACATCTAGGCTTAATGTCTGTTGGTGTGAGGTGGAATATCTCGAGTCCGGTGGGAAATTGAGCCTTTTAAGCTCACAGGAGATGTTTCTTCAGCGGAAGGAGCGAGAGCTAAAAGAGTCAGCTGTGGGGACGCCAGGAGCGAAATCAGATTTTCACGCTTTTCCTTCCTTGCACACCTGGAAAAGGAAACTCCCACTGGTATGATGAGCAGAGAGAGAATTCTGCCTGTGCATGTCAAGTTTGTTATGTGGCAGCGAAGGGAGCAATGTTCCCCAGTGAAATCTGCACCCAGAGGGATGCCGGACAGAAGAAGAGAACCCCATTGTTCGCTCAACGCATAGTTAAACTGTGGAACTCTCTCCAGCAGAACTAAGGTAAAGGGACCCCTGACCATTAGGTCCAGTCGTGACCGACTCTGGGGTTGCGGCGCTCATCTCACTTTATTGGCTGAGGGAGCTGGCGTACAGCTTCCGGGTCATGTGGCCAGCAGGACTAAGCCGCTTCTGGCGAACCAGAGCAGCGCACAGAAACGCCGTTTACCTTCCCGCCGGAGCGGTACCTATTTATCTACTTGCACTTTGATGTGCTTTCGAACTGCTAGGTTGGCAGGAGCAGGGACCGAGCAACGGGAGCTCACCCCGTCACGGGGATTCGAACCGCCAACCTTCTGATTAGCAAGTCCTAGGCTCTGTGGTTTAACCCACAGCGCCACCCGCATCCCTTATTCCATTCTTAGACCAAGGTAATGTTCACAAACCGGGACACTGCTTCCGGTTTTGCAGAGTTCGTAAACCGAATAGTTTGTAAACAGAGCTGTCCTTAAACTGAGGTACCACTGCACTGTTCTCCTGCTCCTGGGAAGATTCAGGATCCGTATCAGGAGCAAGAGAGAGGCTCCCACCATTCCTCATCAGTGCAGCCCTCCTCAGCACGGTCCCTGACAGACCATGCCTTCATTCTTCCCATTCGTCAATATCAGTCTCTTAGCTACCATTAACCCTGTCTTCTTTCTGCCTATCAGGTGTCAGGACTTGCCAACTCCTCTCCTGGAAAGAGGAGCTGCGGAAGTGAGAAAATGTGGTTGCTGGAGAAAATCCGCGGCTCGGTGGAGAACGGCGGCTCCCGGGGGAACGGCGACTCCGGCGATAAGCAGTCCAAAGGGCCTCTGTACAGCAACGTCCTGACGCCGGACAAGATCCCGGATTTCTTCATCCCGCCCAAGCTCCCGATGGTGCCCCCAGAAGCAGAGGGGGCAGAAGGGAAGGCAAAGCCCAATCTGGGCACGTCGGCCTCAGAGCAGAACCTCTCAGCCCGCAAGCCGCAGCGCAGCCCGCGCTTGCCGGCCAAAGCCGCATCGGAGAGCAAGAATCTCCTGAAGGCCGCCAGCCGCCACATCATCCAGATCGAGAGCGCCGACGAATGGGCATCCGAGGAGGACTTCAGCACCAACGCAGACCCCCAGTCGCAGACGGCCATGTCCCTGCCGTACGTGCCCAAGGCGCAGACGTCGTACGGCTTCGCCACGCTCATGGAGAGCCCGCACACTCGCCGCAAGGAGTCCCTCTTCCACAGCGAGCACACCAGCCTCTGCCCGTCGCAGTCGACCTCTCCCAGCTCCCAGCGGAGGTCTCCTTCGGGAGGGAGCAAGACCAACGGCGAGGGCGGCCACCTCAACCCTTCGGACATCAGCATGTCCCTCATGAACCCCTACCGCTACTTCAGCGGCGGCGAAAGCGACACGTGCTCCTCGGCCGAGTCGTCCCCGTTCGGCTCCCCCTTGCTCTCGCGCTCGGTGTCGCTCCTCAAGATCTTCAGCCAGGAGAGTCAGTCCAAAGTCATCAAGCTGAAGCACTCGGTGGCGCGCAACAGCTCCCTCTCCACCGACGACAGCTCGGCCGACACCAGCCCCAGCTCACAGCGGCGCCAGCGGTGTGCCACCCCTCCCGTGGGGGCAGCCGGCGCGGCACAACAGCCGGCGGCGCCGGCAGACCAGCCAGAGCGACTTCACAAGGAGCACATCATTCCCTTGAGCAAAGGGGGCAGCATGCGGCTGGCGGCCGAATACAACCCTTCGAGTGCGCGCCTTCGGGTGCGCGTAATCACGGCGGAAGACCTCTACGACAAGCACTGCGACGCGCGGAGCATCAATTGCTGCGTGGCCCTCTACCTGAACCCCGGGAAGTTGCAAAAACAGCGCAGCACCATCATCAAGAACAGCCGCTACCCCGTCTTCAACGAAGATTTCTTCTTTGATGGGCTGGGGGCCAGCAACGCCAAGAAACTTTCACTCAAGGTCAAGGTGCTCAACAAGGGAGGCAGCCTCAAGAGAGACACCCTGATGGGGGAGAAGGAGCTCCCCTTAACGTCTTTGCTCCCATTTTCATAAAACGACCTTGGTCATGCCTCCCTCTTGCACCCGTCCCATCCGGAATGGCTCGTTCCTCCACCCTGTAAATACAAGGAAGTTGGAGGGGGAGGCTGACACAAGATGGTGATGGCTACTCAGTGTGTCCCCCACCCCCGAAAAAATGCTTGCTGCATGTTTTAGGGCAGGGAGGGAGGGGGGGAGTAAGCATGTAATCTCGCCGGCTGCTGATGCGATCCCTTTCCTTGCGAGATCGAAAATATAATTGCCTGTCCGGGGTTGACAAGATTTTGCCCTGTGCACAGTGAAGCGTTCTGAGTTTATCAAAGAGATGAGCTCATTGCGGGGAGATAAGGGGGGTGACTATTGGGCTGTTGTAAGTCTGGGAAGGGATCCTCAGAACGGATTTTTGCTGCGGCATGTTGATGCATGAGCGCAACGGGCTTTTTGCTCTGCTTCCTTCTCCCTGTCGTACCTGGATCCCGTTAAACTGCATGCAGTGTAGCAAACTGGCGATCCCCATCGGCCATCAGCTGTGCTTGACCGACGTTGTCTGAGCAAAGGTGGTCAACAGACAGGAATTAGTCCGGTGGGAGACAGCGTGAACCAGGGGTCACCAACTTATGGGATCTGTGGGTGCGTTTAGAAACCCGGAGAAATGGTTGTGGACACACGACCTGTTCTGTTGGGTACGACTGAACGCTTATATCAGGAGCTAATTTTGGGTGCCGGTTAGGGGAAGAGACTTTCCTGTGGGTTTCCTGTGTTGCCACAGTTGCTGTGTTGGTGACCCTCAGTGTAAATAACCCAGTTGCCTTATGGGAAAGGGGACAGGGGAAATGGCCCTCATTATCCGAACATCCTTGCCTTAACAACCTTTTGCAAACGATGGATTTGCACCTGGGAGCTGGGGGTGGCTCGTTCTTTTGCAAGGAGGTACCCTAGCAAGGATGGGACGCGGGTGGCGCTGTGGGTTAAACCACAGAGCCTAGGACTTGCCGATCAGAAGGTCGGCGGTTCGAATCCCCGTGACGGGGTGAGCTCCCGTTGCTCGGTCCCTGCTCCTGCCCACCTAGCAGTTCGAAAGCACGTCAAAGTGCAAGTAGATAAATAGGTACCACTCCGGCAGGAAGGTAAACCGTGTTTCCGTGCGTTGCTCTGGTTCGCCAGAAGCGGCTTAGTCCTGCTGGCCACATGACCCGGAAGCTGTATGCCGGCTCCCTCGGCCAGTAAAGCGAGATGAGCGCCGCAACCCCAGAGTCGTCCGCGACTGGACCTAACGGTCAGGGGTCCCTTTACCTTTACCCTAGCAAGGAGCTATGGGCAGCGGGGAGACCCATAAGAACCCCCCCCTTTCCAAAGCTGTAAAGCTGCTATCATAAAGGCAAGCACCAGATGTTTTGCAGAACTGGAGGTTTTTGCATCTTCCTATCTTCTTTTCTTATTGGGAAAACCCAACAGGCAGAGCTACTCCCGGGGCATGACGATTCCGCCATGGGGAGTTTGTGGCTTTGCGGGGTCTGCAAAGGGCCTCTGATACGCTGCCCAAATAGGTAACTCCCCCCCCCTTTCTCTGAAAGCAGGGAAGCCCCCTTAAATTGCCTTACGCTGCTCTGGTCCATATCTGGTCCAGGGTTTTCGGTCGGAGCAGGGTCTCCCTCATTTCTTCTGATGTTTTTGTTCCTTCTAACTGGAGATAGGGATTGGAACTGGGACCTTGTACAGGCAAAAACATAGTGCTCTACCGCTGCGTTACAGTCCTCTTCCTTAGGAAGTGGATATCTCAGCACTGATCCAAACCTCCCATATGGCAGGCAAGGAGATAACCGGCGGCACCAGGATTCGAATCTGGGACTGCTTGCATGCAACGCATGTGCTCTGTGGCTGAGCTATAGTTCTTTTCACACTTGGGGTATTCAATTCCAATCACCCACCATAATCCCCTCTTTCCCTTCCTTCTACTTTTTGGGAATTCTTGTGTTGGCTTTGAAGTGCTCCGTCAGGGTTCCCTTCCCCCTGCACTGCCCATTTCTCGCTTCCCCAGAACCGACACAGCGCCCCCACTTTTGCACAAAAGAAATGCACTTTTAAACGTCCCTATTTGGTGATGGCTAAGGAAGCTGGGCAAGGGACGTGGGTGGCGCTGTGGGTTAAATCACAGAGCCTAGGACTTGCCAATCAGAAGGTCGGCGGTTTGAATCCCCGCAATGACGGGGTGAGCTCCCGTTGCTCGTCCCTGCTCCTGCCAACCTAGCAGTTCGAAAGCACGTCAAAGTGCAAGTAGATAAATAGGTACCGCTCCAGCGGGAAGGTAAACGGCGTTTCTGTGCGCTGCTCTGGTTCACCAGAAGCGGCTTAGTCCTGCTGGCCACATGACCCGGAAGTTGTACGCCGGCTCCCTTGGCCAATAAAGCGAGATGAGCGCCGCAACCCCAGAGTCGGCCACGACTGGAACTAATGGTCAGGGGTCCCTTTACCTTTACTTTAAGAAAGGTGGGCAGTTGTGCTGGAATCTGCAACAACCTTTGACGGACAGGTGCCAGGGTTAAAACATTGCCTGGGAGTTGCCTATCGAACATTGCTGCCTTTTAATCCCCGTGGGCAGAGGCTCAGTGTAGATGCTTGTTGATGGATGATAAACACGCCAAAGACAGATTTAGGGGAGTGTGATTGGTTTGGTCACACAGGGCACGGAGCCTCAGAGACGCTGCAGGGAACACTGCAAATATAATAATAATTATTATTATTTATACTCCTCCCATCTAGCTGGGTTTCCCCTGCCACTCTGGCAGCTTTCAACAGAATATTAAAAACACGATAAAATATCATACATTAAAAGCTTCCCTAAACAGGGCTGCCTTCAGATGTCTTCTAAAAGTCTGGTAGTTGTTGTTCTCTTTGATATCCGGTGGGAGGGCGTTCCACAGGGTGGGCGCCACCACTGAGAAGGCCCTCTGCCTGGTTCCCTGTAACCTCACTTCTCGCAGTGAGGGAACTGCCAGAAGGCCCTCGGAGCTGGACCTCAGTGTCCGGGCAGGACGATGGGGGTGGAGACACTCCTTCAGGGATACTGGGCCATTTAGGTCTTTCAAGGTCAGCACCAACACTTTGAATTGTGATCGGAAACATCCTGGGAGCCAATGTAGGTCTCACAGATGTCAAAGAGAACGACAACTACCAGACTTTTAGAAGACATCTGAAGGCAGCCCTGTTTAGGGAAGCTTTTAATGTTTGATGTGTTACGGTATTTTAATATTTTGCTGGAAGCCGCCCAGAGTGGCTGGGGAAGCCCAGTCAGATGGGCAGGGTATAAATAATAAATTATTATTATTATTCCGCAATGAGTAGTTCCATCCTCACCAGACAGGGTCACCCTTCCACTATTGCAGAGATGCACAGAGCCCTCTCAGTCGCCCACTCCCCACCCTACCCAACCCCCCGTTGGGTGCCAAATGCTGTATACAGAACAAACAAGGCCTCCCTGGAGTCTTGCACAAAGCACAAACATCTGGGATTCTCATCAGAGCCAAGAAATCGTTCGGAGTCCTGGCCTCTCTAAGAGAGAAAACAAAGAGACGTGCTTTCCCCACTGCCCTTCGTCAGCTGGGGAAAACCTTCTGGCAAAACGCCTCCTGCATATTTTGGGATGGCGAGACACGGTTATTGAGCTGTGCCTTATGATCTCTCCGCGTTTCTGCTCGAAGGGTTTTCCTTTTTTTGTTTTCTAGGTTTGTAAATCCGAGGTTTGGAATTGAGCTGATGGTTTTCCGAGCGCGATTAATTATACCTGCTGGGGGAACCTCCTCTCCCGTAAAATGGAGATGTCTTCCCAGAAACCCTTTTGGTCCCAGAGGCTTTGACAGTGAGGAGGAGACCCCTGGTTTTCTGGTTTAACTTCCACCCCCTCAGCTCCTCTGCTCCACCCCCCCTTCCCTCAATTCAACCCAATCTCTGCTTCTCTCAGCCGCGCTGATTAAAATAAACAGATCAGCCTTCGGTCTGAAACCCCAGCGGACAGTAAACAGACACACAGAAGCAAAATAATCAAGCCCATCTCTGCAAAGCGGTGGTGGAGGCGATGAGAAAAGAATAATCCAGACATCTTTTCATCTCTCTTGGGTTACTGTAGAGCCGGACCAAGTGCAGGACCTCAAGGGGCGCTGAAATTTGGGTTAATCCCCTCTTGCTCTCTCTCCCCCATCCAAATACCTTGTTAACAGAGTGCCAACTGATTTATATATATATATATTTATATATACAGATATAAAACAGTCTCTTCGTTTTTCCGTTGCTTGCGAAAGCCTCAGGCTTTTGGAGTCTGTTTGCCTGCCAAACAAAGGAGATAATCTTGTTGGAGTGTGTGTGTGTGTGTGTGTGTGTGTGTGTGTGGATTTGGGGAAACAACAATCTTTGCTTGCTCTTATTCCTATTGCACCTGAATTAACCTACCTATTTAATCTCTCTATCGAATCTGTTTTATCGGGCGTCTTCTGCATGGTTGCTGCTCTGGGAGATGTTGCAAGCACACCAGTCCGCCTTCCTGTTGCCTTCTTGGCAAACAAATTTGCTTATTGATTGTTTATAATAATAATAACTAATGATGGTAATATATTTTTTTTGGGGGGGGGAGGGCCGTGAACTTCTGTCAGCTGTATTTTGACTTTGTGCAGTTTGGACAGTGGCAGGTGAATTTTGAGTGTAAAATGCTTTTTTCCTATGATCCGATGATTCCTTGTTACTGTATTACCAGTTGGTTCCTATTTCATAATTATAACAATGATTGCTATTGGGTTTTTTAATATATCTATATCTATATATATATAAAAGACTTTTACACAGAGCATGGGATTTCTAAACCGTTCTCCAAGTTCTTGAATGTGCATGGAGTGATTTTCCCCCCCCTGGTCTCGTTTTCTGGTTTCAACTCACGGAGCGGAACAGAGCTGGAGGGGGGGGGGGCTTCCTCAGCCTAAGAGCCATAGTCCCTTTTTCTTAAGAAAATCCTCACCACGACCCTGCAAGGGGGAGGCCAAGGTAAGGAGTGGCGGCAAGCTTCAGCGAGCTTCATAGCCAAGTTGAGCGACGACGTTCAGAGAGCGACTGGGTAAACGTTGCAACGGCACCCCATTCCTAGTCCGGTGCTGTAACCATTGAACCTCGCTGCCTCTCAACTGGTGTATGGCAGCTGGGACTCTGAGTGCCTTAAAGGTAAAGGGACCCCCGACCATTAGGCCCAGTTGTGGCCGACTCTGGGGTTGCGGCGCTCATCTCGCTTTATTGGCCGAGGAAGCCGGCGTACAGCTTCCGGGTCATGTGGCCAGCAGGACTAAGCCGCTTCTGGCGAACCAGAGCAGCGCACGGAAACGGCGTTTACCTTCCCGCCGGAGCGGTACCTATTTATCTACTTGCGCTTTCACGTGCTTTTGAACTGCTAGGTTTGCAGGAGCAGGGACCGAGCAACGGGAGCTCACCCGGTCGCGGGGATTCGAACCGCCAACCTTCTGATCGGCAAGCCCTAGGCTCTGTGGTTTAACCCATAGCGCCACCCATGTCCCATCTGAGTGCCTTAGGAGCAGTATGATGAAAGCCTATATTCCAGGAGTGGGCAGCATTTTTTCAGCCTGAAGGCATCCTTCCCGAGGTCAGCGAGGGGAGTGGCTTGGACAGGGAGGGTGTGGCCTGGGGAAAGGGGCGTGGCCTGAGGATGGCTCCAAGGGCCTGATAGAAAGGGATGCAGGTGGCGCTGTGGTGTAAACCCCTGAGCCTCTTGGGCTTGTTGATCGGAAGGTCGGTGGTTCGAATTCCCGCAACGGGGTGAGCTCCCGTTGCTCAGTCCCTTCTCCTGCCAACCTAGCAGTTCGAAAGCACAAAGTGCAAGTAGATAAATAGGTACCGCTCTGGCGGGAAAGTAAACGGCATTTCCGTGTGCTGCTCTGGTTTCGCCAGAAGCGGCTTTGTCATGCTGGCCACATGACCCAGAAGCTGTACGCCGGCTCCCTCGACCAGTAAAGCGAGATGAGCACCGCAACCCCAGAGTCGGCCA